GACTTTATCTGTTGTTTTATACGTACGACTTTAGTTGTTGTCTTAAACGTACGACTTTAGTTGTTGTCTTACATGTATGACTTTAGCTCTTTTCTTACCCATATGACTTTAGATGTTGTCTAACACGTACGACTTTAGCTGTTGTCTTACACGTACGACTTTAGCTGTTGTCTTAAACGTATGACTTTAGTTGTTGTCTTACACGTACGACTTTAGCTGTTGCCTTAAACGTATGACTTTAGTTGTTGTCTTACACGTATGACTTTAGCTGTTGTCTTACACGTATGACTTTAGCTGTTGTCTTACACGTACGACTTTAGCTGTTGTCTTAAACTATGACTTTAGTTGTTGCCTTACACGTATGACTTTAGCTGTTGTCATAAACCTGCGACTTTAGCTGTTGTCTTACCCATATGACTTTAGATGTTGTCTTACACGTACGACTTTAGCTGTTGTCTTACACGTACGACTTTAGCTGTTGTCTTAAACGTATGACTTTAGTTGTTGTCTTACACGTACGACTTTAGCTGTTGCCTTAAACGTATGACTTTAGTTGTTGTCTTACACGTATGACTTTAGCTGTTGTCTTACACGTATGACTTTAGCTGTTGTCTTACACGTACGACTTTAGCTGTTGTCTTAAACTATGACTTTAGTTGTTGCCTTACACGTATGACTTTAGCTGTTGTCATAAACCTGCGACTTTAGCTGTTGTCTTACCCATATGACTTTAGATGTTGTCTTACACGTACGACTTTAGCTGTTGTCTTACACGTACGACTTTAGCTGTTGTCTTAAACGTATGACTTTAGTTGTTGTCTTACACGTACGACTTAAGTTGTTGTCTTACACGTATGCCTTTAGCTGTTTTCGTACACGTATGAAATTAGTTGTTTTCTTACACGTACGACTTTTGCTGTTTTCGTACACGTATGAAATTAGTTGTTGTCTTACAAGTATGACTAGCTGTTGTATTACAAATACGACTTTGGCTGTTGTCTTACACGTACGACTTTAGTTGTTGTCTTACACGAATGACTTTAGTTGTTGTCTTACACGTATGACTTTAGCTGTTGTCTTACACGTACGACTTTTGCTGTTTTCGTACACGTATGAAATTAGTTGTTATCTTACAAGTATGACTTTAGCTGTTGTATTACAAATACGACTTTAGTTGTTGTCTTACACGTATGACTTTGGCTGTTGTCTTACACGTACGACTTTAGTTGTTGTCTTACACGAATGACTTTAGTTGTTGTCTTACACGTATGACTTTAGCTGTTGTCTTACACGTACGACTTTTGCTGTTTTCGTACACGTATGAAATTAGTTGTTATCTTACAAGTATGACTTTAGCTGTTGTATTACAAATACGACTTTAGTTGTTGTCTTACACGTATGACTTTAGCTGTTGTCTTACACGTACGACTTTAGTTGTTGTCTTACACGAATGACTTTAGCTGTTGTCTTAAACGTATGACTTTAATTGTTGTCTAACACGTACGACTTTATCTGTTTTCTTACACGTATGACATTAGCTGTTGTCTTACACGTATGACTTTAGCTGTTGTCTTACACGTATGACTTTAGCTGTTGTCTTACACGTATGACTTTAGCTGTTGTCTTAAACGTATGACTTGAGCTGTTGTCTTACACGTACGACATTAGCTGTTGTCTTACACGGATGACTTTAGCTGTTGTCTTACACGTATGACTTTAGCTGTTGTCTTACACGTACGACTTTAGCTGTTGTCTTACACGGAATACTTTAGCTGTTGTCTTACACGGATGACTATCTGTTTTCGTACACGTACGACTTTAGTTGGTGTCTTACAAGTATGACTTTAGTTGTTGTCTTATACGTATGACTTTAGCTGTTGTCTTACACGTATGACTTTAGCTGTTGTCTTACACGTATGACTTTAGCTGTTGTCTTACACGTATGACTTTAGCTGTTGTCTTACACGTATGACTTTAGCTGTTGTCTTACACGTATGACTTTAGCTGTTGTCTTACACGTATGACTTTAGCTGTTGTCTTACACGTATGACTTTAGCTGTTGTCTTACACGTATGACTTTAGCTGTTGTCTTACACGTATGACTTTAGCTGTTGTCTTAAACGTATGACTTGAGCTGTTGTCTTACACGTACGACATTAGCTGTTGTCTTACACGGATGACTTTAGCTGTTGTCTTACACGTATGACTTTAGCTGTTGTCTTACACGTACGACTTTAGCTGTTGTCTTACACGGAATACTTTAGCTGTTGTCTTACACGGATGACTATCTGTTTTCGTACACGTACGACTTTAGTTGGTGTCTTACAAGTATGACTTTAGTTGTTGTCTTATACGTATGACTTTAGCTGTTGTCTTACACGTATGACTTTAGCTGTTGTCTTACACGTATGACTTTCGCTGTTTTCGTACACGTACGACTTTATTAGTTGTCTTACACGAATGACTTAAGTTGTTGTCTTACACGTATGACTTTAGCTGTTGTCTTACAACTATGACTTTAGCTATTGTCATGAATGGATGACTTTAGCTGTTGTCTTGCACATATGACTTTAGCTTTTGACTTACATGAATGACTTTAGTTGTTGTCTTACACGTATGACTGTAGCTGTTGTCTAACACGTATGACTTTTAGCTGTTGTCTTACACGTATGACTTTAGCTGTTGCCTTACACGTATGAGTTTAGCTGTTTTCTTACACGTATGACTTTAGCTGTTGTCATACACATACGACTTTAGCTGTTTTCCCTTCACGTATGAATTTAGTTGTTATCTTACACGTACGACTTTAGCTGTTGTCTTAAACGTATGACTTTAGTTGTTGTCTTAGACTATGACTTTAGCTGTTGTCTGACAAATACGACTTTGGCTGTTGTCTTACACGTACGACTTTAGTTGTTGTCTTACACGAATGACTTTAGTTGTTGTCTTATACGGATGACTTTAGTTGTTGTCTAACACGTATGACTTTAGTTGTTGTCTTACACGTACGACTTTAGCTGTTGTCTAACACGTACGACTTTAGCTGTTGTCTTAAATGTATGACTTTAGTTGTTGTCTTAGACTATGACTTTAGCTGTTGTCTTACAAATACGACTTTGGCTGTTGTCTTACACGTACGACTTTAGTTGTTTTCTTACACGAATGACTTTAGTTGTTGTCTTACACGGATGAGTTTAGTTGTTGTCTTACACGTATGACTTTAGCTGTTGTCTTACACGTATGACTTTAGCTGTTTTCCCTTCAGGTATGACTTTATCTGTTGTATTACACATACGTCTTTAGTTGTTGTCTTAAACGAATGACTTTAGCTGTTGTCTTACACGTATGACTTTAATTGTTGTCTAACACGTACGACTTTATCTGTTTTCGTACACGTATGACTTTAGCTGTTGTCTTACACGTATGACTTTTGCTGTTGTCTTACACGTACGACATTAGCTGTTGTCTTACACGGATGACTTTAGCTGTTGTCTTACACGTACGACTTTAGCTGTTGTCTTACACCTACGACTTTAGCTGTTGTCTTACACGGATGACTTTTGCTGTTGTCTTACACGTACGACTTTTGCTGTTTTCGTACAGGTATGAAATTAGTTGTTGTCTTACACTTATGACTTTATCTGTTTTCGAACACGTATGACTTTTTGTATTACACAAAAGACTTTAGCTGTTGTCTTACACGTATGACTTGAGCTGTTGTCTTACACGTACGACTTTAGTTGTTGTCTTACACATACGACTTTAGCTGTTGTCTTACACGTACGACTTTAGCTGTTGTCTTACACGTACGACTTTTGCTGTTTTCGTACAGGTATGAGATTAGTTGTTGTTTTACACTTATGACTTTATCTGTTTTCGAACACGTATGACTTTTTGTATTACACAAAAGACTTTAGCTGTTGTCTTACACGTATGACTTGAGCTGTTGTCTTACACGTACGACTTTAGCTGTTGTCTTACACGTACGCCTTTAGCTGTTGTCTTACACGTACAACTTTAGGTGTTTTCGTACACGTACGACTTTAGCTGTTGTCTTACACGTACAACTTTAGCTTGTTGTCTTACACGTATGACTTTAGCTGTTGTCTTACACGTACGACTTTAGATGTTGTCTTACACGGACGACTTTAGCTGTTGTCTTACACGTACGACTTTAGATGTTGTCTTACACGGACGACTTTAGCTGTTGTCTTACACGTACGACTTTAGATGTTGTCTTAAACGAATGACTTTAGCTGTTGTCTTAAACGTATGACTTGAGCTGTTGTCTTACACGTACGACTTTAGCTGTTGTCTTACACGTACAACTTTAGCTGTTTTCGTACACGTACGACTTTAGCTGTTGTCTTACACGTACGACTTTAGCTGTTGTATTACACGTACGACTTTAGTTGTTGTCTTACACGTATGACTTTAGCTGTTTTCGTACACGTACGACCTTTGCTGGTGTCTTACACGTACGACTTTAGCTGTTGTCTTACCCGTATGACTTTAGTTGTTGTCTTACACGTATGACTTTAGCTGTTGTCTTACACGTATGACTGCAGCTGTTTTCGTACACGTACGACCTTTGCTGTTGTCTTACACGTACCACTTTAGTTGTTGTCTTAACGTACGACTTTAGTTGTTTTCTTACACGTACGACTTTAGCTGTTGTCTTACACGTATAACATTAGTTATCGTTGTACACGTACGACCTCCTAGCTGTTGTCTTTCATGCACGACTTCTTAGCTGTTGCTATATGATCCTTAACTTTAGTGTTGACACATCGACATACAAGTTTGATGTTTGTATTATGAGCTTAGCCGTTGTCATATCATATTAGCTGTTATCATATCATCTAGCTGTTGTGTGGAATTTGTCATAAACCCTTAGCGGATGCAAAACCCGAATTAACCAACCAAACTCCGGTTTGTTGAAATTTGTGTTTGACAAAAGGATATAATACAACAATTAGATTGAAAACACAGAAATAAGATTGTAAATAACGTTTTATTTTTGTTTGTATACATTTTACATGTCAACAAAGTAAAATATCTAAAATAAAGTATTTGAGACATGGTCAGCCATAGAGTATGGATGGTTATCATAATATTTATTATGCATTGACAAATATCAACATGTTTGCATCGGCTAACTCGTTATGATTCTTAAACTGGTAGTTTACACGGAAAACATTCATCTAGCGGATTTACATCAAAGTCAACATCATACAAATAGGTATATAAATTAAACACGTTATCGGGTGAATAGATATTAGAAAACACGTGTGTGACGTCTTTATGGGGACACTGATGTGTAGACAGTTGAGGGAAACTAATGAGTTGAGGTACATTGATGTGTAGCCAGTTGTGGAACACTGATGTGAAGACAGTTGTGGGATGTTGATGTGTAGACAGTTGTGGGACACTGATGTGTAGACAGTTGTGGGATATTGATGTGTAGACAGTTGTGGGACACCGATGGGTAGCCAGTTGTGGAACACTAATGTGAAGACAGTTGTGGGATATTGATGTGTAGACAGTTGTGGGACACTTATGTGTAAACAGTTGTGGGATATTGATGTGTAGACAGTTGTGGGACACTTATGTGTAAACAGTTGTCGGATGCTGATGTGTAAACAGTTGTGGAATATTGATGTGTAGACAGTTGAAGGACACTGATGTGGAGACAGTTGTGGGAGACTGATGTGTAGACAGTTGTCAGACGGTGATGTGTATACAGTTGTGGGACATTGTGTATACAGTTGTAGGATGTTGATGTGTAGACAGTTGTGGGATATTGATGTGTAGACAGTTGAGGGACACTGATGTGGAGACAGTTGTGGGATGTTGATGTGTAGAGAGTTGTGGGACGCTGATGTGGAGACAGTTGTGGGATGTCGATATGTATACAGTTGTGGGATGCTGATGTGGAGACAGTTTTGGGATGTTGATGTGTAGACAGTTGTGGGACGCTGATGTGGAGACAGTTTTGGGATGTTGATGTGTAGAGAGTTGAGGGACACTGATGTGGAGACAGTTGTGGGATGTCGATGTGTAGACAGTTGTGGGACACTTATGTGTAAACAGTTGAGGGACACTGATGTGTAAACAGTTGAGGGACACTGATGTGTAGACAGTTGAGGGACACTGATGTGGAGACAGTTGTCGGACGCTGATGTGTAGACATTTGTAGGATATTGATGTGTAGACAGTTGAGGGACACTGATGTGGAGACAGTTTTGGGATGTTGATGTGTAGACAGTTGTGGGACATTGATGTGTAAACAGTTGAGGGACACTGATGTGGAGACAGTTGTGGGATGTTGATGTGAATACAGTTGTGGAACACTGATGTGGAGACAGTTGTGGGATGTTGATGTGTAGACATTTGTGGGATATTGATGTGTAGACAGTTGAGGGAACCTGATGTGTAGACAGTTGTGGGATGTTGATGTGTAGACAGTTGTGGGATGTTGATGTGTAGACATTTGTGGGATATTGATGTGTAGACAGTTGAGGGAACCTGATGTGTAGACAGTTGTGGGATGTTGATGTGTAGACATTTGTGGGATAATAATGTGTAGACAGTTGAGGGACACTGATGTGTAGACAGTTGTGGGATGTTGATGTGTAGACATTTGTGGGATATTGATGTGTAGACAGTTGTGGGACACTTATGTGTAAACAGTTGAGGGACACTGATGTGTAAACAGTTGAGGGACACTGATGTGTAGACAGTTATGGGATATTGATGTGTAGACAGTTGTGGGATATGGATGTGTAGACAGTTGAGGGACACTGATGTGTAGACAGTTATGGGAGACAGTTGTGGGACACTTATGTGTAAACAGCCGAGGGACACTGATGTGTAAACAGTTGAGGGACACTGATGTGGAGACAGTTGTGGGGTGTTGATGTGTAGACATTTGTAGGATATTGATGTGTAGAAAGTTGAGGGACGCTGATGTGGAGACAGTTGACGGACGCTGATGTGTAGACAGTTATGGGATATTGATGTGCAGACAGTTGAGGGACACTTATGTGGAGACAGTTGTGGGATGTTGATGTTTAGACAGTTGTGGGATGTTGATGTGTAGACAGTTGTGGGACATTGATGTGTAAACAGTTGAGGGACACTGATGTGGAGACAGTTATGGGATATTGATGTGTAGACATTTGTGGGATGTTGATGTGTAGACATTTGTGGAATAATAATGTGTAGACAGTTGAGGGACACTGATGTGGAGACAGTTATGGGATATTGATGTGTAGACATTTGTGGGATGTTGATGTGTAGACATTTGTGGAATAATAATGTGTAGACAGTTGAGGGACACTGATGTGGAGACAGTTGTGGAATGTTGATGTGTAGACATTTGTGGGATATTGATGTGTAGACAGTTGTGGGACACTTATGTGTAAACAGTTGTCGGACGCTGATGTGTATACAGTTATGGGATGTTGATGTGAATACAGTTGAGGGACACTGATGTGTAGACATTTGTGGGATGTCAATGTGTAGCCATTTGTGGAACACTGATGTGTAGACAGTTGTGGGATGTCGATATGTAGACAGTTGTGGGATGTTGATGTGTAGACAGTTGTGGGACATTGATGTGTAAACAGTTGAGGGACACTGATGTGGAGACAGTTTTGGGATGTTGATGTGTAGACATTTGTGGGATAATCATGTGTAGACAGTTGAGGGACACTGATGTGTAGACAGTTATGGGAGACAGTTGTGGGACACTTATGTGTAAACAGTTGAGGGACACTGATGTGTAAACAGTTGAGGGACACTGATGTGGAGACAGTTATGGGATATTGATGTGTAGACATTTGTGGGATGTTGATGTGTAGACATTTGTGGAATAATAATGTGTAGACAGTTGAGGGACACTGATGTGGAGACAGTTATGGGATATTGATGTGTAGACATTTGTGGGATGTTGATGTGTAGACATTTGTGGAATAATAATGTGTAGACAGTTGAGGGACACTGATGTGGAGACAGTTGTGGGATATTGATGTTTAGACAGTTGAGGGACACTGATGTGGAGACAGTTTTGGGATGTTGATGTGTAGACATTTGTAGGATATTGATGTGTAGAAAGTTGAGGGACGCTGCTGTGGAGACAGTTGTCGGACGCTGATGTGTAGACAGTTATGGGATATTGATGTGGAGACAGTTGAGGGACACTGATGTTGAGACAGTTGTGGGATGTTGATGTGTAGACATTTGTGGGACACTGATGTGTATTCAGTTGTGGGATGTCGATGTGTAGCTATTTGTGGAACACTGATGTGTAGACAGTTGTGGGACACTTATGTGTAAACAGTTGTCGGACGCTGATGTGTATACAGTTATGGGATGTTGATGTGAATACAGTTGAGGGACACTGATGTGTAGACATTTGTGGGATGTCAATGTGTAGCCATTTGTGGAACACTGATGTGGAGACAGTTATGGGATATTGATGTGTAGACATTTGTGGGATGTTGATGTGTAGACATTTGTGGGACGCTGATGTGTATACAGTTGTGGGATGTCAATGTGTAGCCATTTGTGGAACACTGATGTGTAGACAGTTGTGGGACACTGATGTGTAAACAGTTGTGGGATGTTGATGTGTAGACATTTGTAGGATATTGATGTGTAGACAGTTGAGGGACACTGATGTGTAGACATTTGTAGGATATTGATGTGTAGACAGTTATGGGATATTGATGTGCAGACAGTTGAGGGACACTTATGTGGAGACAGTTGTGGGATGTTGATGTTTAGACAGTTGAGGGACACTGATGTGGAGACAGTTGTGGGATATTGATGTGTAGACAGTTGAGGGACACAGATGTGGTGACAGTTGTGGGATATTGATGTGTAGACAGTTGTGGGATGTTGATGTGTAGACAGTTGTGGGATATTGATGTGTAGACAGTTGAGGGACACAGATGTGGAGACAGTTGTGGGATATTGATGTGTAGACAGTTGTGGGATATTGATGTGTAGACAGTTGTGGGATATTGATGTGGAGACAGTTGAGGGACACTGATGTGGAGACAGTTGTGGGATGGTGATGTTTAGACATTTGTGGGACACTGTTGTGTAGACAGTTATGGGATATTGATGTGTAGACAGTTGTGGGATGTCGATGTGTAAACAGTTGAGGGACACTTATGTGTAAACAGTTGAGGGACACTGATGTGTAGACAGTTATGGGATATTGATGTTTAGACAGTTGAGGGACACTGATGTGGAGACAGTTGTGGGATGTTGATGTGAATACAGTTGTGGAACACTGATGTGGAGACAGTTGTGGGATGTTGATGTGTAGACATTTGTTGGACGCTGATGTGTATACAGTTGTGGAAAACTGATGAGGCATTCAGTATGAATTGACCATAGAGAATAACACTATTCAAGAATGACAAATACCGGGACCGTTTGTAGGAGTAAGGTTTTCAAATTAAAACTACCATAGTAACAAATTAGAAATGATTGATATACTGAAACCTTTGTTATATTTTGTTAGATCTAAACGCACAATTTTATTATATATTTTAACTTCCGTTTATTATTTTTATATATCTCCAAACACAATCTTGATTTTATATATTGTTAACTTGATTTATTTTTTAAAATATCTCCAACACAATTTTAATTCATTTTCACAAACTTTAGTCTACCAGATTATAATTTTAATGATTAAATTAAGTTAGCCGTAAACAGGACGAATGGTAGATTAAAAAACCACTTAAGACAGACTTAAACACAAGATCCGTATTGTTTGCACACATTGTACTCTGGATAAAGTATCACAGTAATATGCGATATACTGACTCCCCTTTACACTTTACTTTTCATTGAAGAGATTTGGATCAATAGCGATAGCTATCACACACTTCAAAAACAATGTTATGATAATAGTATCCTTTTAATAACTTTTCAGGTCATTTTGCTGAGTAGCGAACAGGTTTTAAAGGAATTTATAACTACCGATTCAATCCTAGCTCCCACCAAAAACATAGAAGTTTCATGGAAACAATAAGTTGGCAAATATACTAAACACAACTCTATCCATCCAACAAGCATACTTGTTCTTGATAAGAATTCTCTGAATATCGTATCATCTGCATTAATGAGTGCATGGCACGTTCAATTGACAGTCAGGAACAACTATCGAATAGCTGACCTATGTACAAACTGTTATAAGTTACACATCATTGTCCATGTAAAATAATGTCATTGCACATTTGTAAATAGCATTTATTATGCTGATCATGAGTTGAGATTTCAGAACAAAAAAGTCGTTGTTTAGTTATCATATGTATATAATGGACAAGGGGAAGAATGTATAGAATTGTATTTTTGAATTTAAAATGGATATGTCGATTAAACAACATACAAAACAAGTGAATGAGATGCTAACTTGACGGAAGCTTTTAAGATGTGGTTATGAATAAATTATAAGTATGATAGTCTTGATTGAACGAATACAGAGTGTATACAATTTTTTGTTAAAATAGGAGATGTCATTTTTAGCTACAATGTATATGATTAAAATGGAGAATTTCTAACAAAAATTACTGACGTTGAACAGTAAACAAACTACAGTAACACCTCGATATAATGCCTCTCATTACATCTCGATATAATGCCTCTCGTTTCATTTGACACCTCTGTACCGCCAACATATTTCAATGTGCCTTTTTCTCGTTTTCGGAAGAATTTCTTTATACATTTCCCTCAATTTATCACCCAAATCCCCTTATAATGCCAAAATTTCTCTGCACAAAAGTGGCTTCGCCTCGGGTGACAATGGTTTTCTCGGGTTGACAATATTCACTGTCACCTGCTCATGAATGTCATATTTATATAATGTTAACACCGTACGTCACCATGTGTTAACAACCTGGATTAACGCTGTACATCACACGTTGACATGTAATGCTAACATATAAAACACAAGTAGAGTTCAAACACCTGGTATCATTGGGTAAGGTTACAAGTCATCGACTGTAGAAAAATACAACCCAGTTCCACTCACCCAAGCTACTGAGTCGACGTATGTCTATTACATTATCTAACAATTCTACGGATTCAAATGGATTTCGTAAACAAAATATAACACAATTATCCTAAGTATTCCTACACATAAAGTATGGTTAGGTCTATCATCAGAAGAACACTTTTTGGGTTTTTGTACTTGATTTGATTCTTGTTTGAGCATGAATCACTTTAACATAACCGTTACATGCACACATTAACTGCTCTCGCCACACCGTTGCATATACAAGTCTAAAGTTTATAATTGTTCTTTATCTACCAAATTTCAAAATTCGATCTTTGTTCTGATGGTGATAAAGGTGCTGAACTGCTATTTCCTTTCAGTGTGTAGTTAGACTTCATGCCTTGTTAGCTTGACGGCAAATCCAACTAAACCTTTCTACTTGCATATCAATATTGAAAATAAAGAAACGTTGTAGTATATCTTTTTAAAATAAGATTGTAAGCTGTGAACATGGACAATATGTTTTGGAATTCGTAGAAAAAAATAATAATTTGAGATTGAAACTTGGTAAGATCCTGTATCTTCAAACATTTGAGTCAGTTATGAATAATATTGTACCCTGTCCAAGTCTGAACCCACGTGTCATAAACAAAAGAGAATTGCTTTTGTTTTCACTTTTTGTGACATGTGTATTATGAGTATTCAAAATATTTCTGTACAAATAACATCTCAACAACATACTTTGATAAGTCAAATATATGTATATAATATATATAATATATAATTTTAATTTAATTTTTGTAGTTTTTTTTCCATATGCAACAAACAAATTGTGAGATACGTAGAAATCTTATGGTACATATTTGCTATAAAACTTCTCTTGCAAATATATACGAAACATAAGTAACAATGAACATAAGAAACAAAGGGTAACAACATGAGACAATTCGAGGAGCAGAATGGATATGTATTGGCATTTTGTCACGAGTGCTATTTTGGGATACGATCTTATACAGTTAGCGTATATATATAGGTGTAGTATGCATCAATAGTCCTTTGATTGCAGTTCCATCAGCAGCTCCTTCCACACACACACACTTGACTAGTATAAACAAGTTGCTGATCCACATATCGGTATTGCTTGACTGTATATACATGTATTATGCATATTGGAACTTTTGCTGCGTCCACTGTATTCTTGCTGCTGTTCCAGTGTGACGCAACACGAACGACTATTCAGTCCAATTCGTACAAAATTGTCTTAATTCAAATATGAATGTCTTTGTGTCGATTGGCTGGTTCCTGAGATCAAAACGCTCACGTTGAGCCTCGGCGTTCTCCTCGTCGGCGGGAACGGATAGGCGGGAACGGATCGGCGGCGGGAACAGTCCTGGACTGTCACAGTGATATATGGTTTTGGGGTATACCAATCACCTTAGTTAGGATCTATTTCTGTTAATATCACCTCGTAATCCTTGTCTTCATTAAGTTCGTTCAGTTCGATCATAAACGTAGATTCGTGAGAATAGTGTCGGATAATGTTGTCGTCCATTCTGACCAGGATCCTACAAACACAGATATATCGGAGATACATTCAAAATAGATATTGGATAATAAAATATGAAAATAAAATCAAAAATTACTTTAGATGTGTTTTGTTTTATCGTTTTATCTTTATACAGATCAGTACCACTTAGGTATTGTATAATACAATTAACCATAAAACATAGGACATAAACTGACTAAACTATATTATCTTCATGACATCATTGTAAAAGTTTTCTCGATCAAAACGTAACGTAGAAAGTCAACCTACCCTTTCTTTGACCGCTTGTAGGTACTTTTGACTTTAGAAGCTAGGACGTTGTATTTCTCCTGCACCTGTGATGAACAATCAAATGCAATGCTAATTATTCTTACTACATATACATATAATACATGCTATTAAGTTAGTTGAAAAAAGGAATAAAAAACAAGTATTCATTACAAGAGTTTTTTATTTAACGTTTCATATTTTAAAGACAAAAAATATTTTAGATATGAAACGTAAATTAAAAAAGATTGTAAATGAACTGAGATATGATTAATATTCCCAATAAAAACAAGGGACTGCATTAGCGTCCACTAAACAGTAATGAGAATTCGAATTCGAATGAAGTAGGCAAAAACGAAAAAAGGGAATATTTAAATGGAGATTCTTCAAAAAGTATAAAGAACATACGACCGGGTGTTTCGGAAGGGTAAGAACCAATGAGGGTAGAAGCTGAGGGTTAACCGAGATGAAAGTGTCATTTAAAGGATGCCTGGTGTTTTTATACTGGTAGATGGGCCTGACTTCTGGAACCAAATAACCAGGAATGGACCGAACTTTGAACCTACCGATTGTAGCAGACCCTGGAGGGTAGGTGTCCGTAACATGAGGGCGGTAAACACGGTCTCGTGCTGTTCTCGGACGTACAAGAGGACTGTAAGTAAACAAATTGTTAGCATGGTGTTATTATCGTGATGACTATATAACAAAATAATTAGAATATCACGAATTGGTGAGTACCAATCCATTTTATCAACTAAATTAAGGACGTATGTGTATACCTTAATTATCTTCATATAAATATACAGAGGAAAATCAAAATAACCGATATTTGTTGAGCAATATTCAATTGTTTGAAGCGTCCGTACCTAAATGGACCGTTGGCTCGAATTTTGACAATGTATATTTTTTTCCGGTTGAAATTGAACAAGTGTTCTTCTGATTTGGTCTTTAAATGGTCATTTAAAATCCTGATAGGAATGTTCAGTACAAGTTTAAAACAAATCGAAACTTTTAGTTAGCCAAGGGAGCTTGAACTTCTGGGCCTATATGGATGACTGATTGTCGTGGAATTCGATTAACTTACTTTTTGGGAAGTCCATATACTGGCCGTATGAGTCACGTCTCTGTCGCTTGGCCAAGGGGTACCCGGAGTCCTCTAGGCAATCTACCGTGCTGTTGAGACTGCAATAACACAGGAGGGAGACGTGTAATGAACCGTAGACAGTCTATTTTCATTTCAGTTTAATGCGTATAATTTACTACATGATAAAACATGTTTTATAAATGTTTTCCCGGAGTGATTACGGGAATGTACATCACAGCTATAATTTTAAGATTTCATGAGTTACAGTTGTTACAGTGTTACGGAGGTATGGAGCCGCCAGGTCATATGTAATGCAAGTTTACCCTGAGAACAAATACTGTTTTACTATTACTTTCGTCTATTTTGTGATTATAATTTGACTATTTTTTCCTGACATTTTTCACAATAATTACCTTGAATTTCCGTCGTCATCTTGTAGAAGACCATTGACGGGGCTTGACTGAAAACAAATAATCAAAGTTAGTGTATCGTTCAAGTGGAGACAGTTTTCTATGAAATGTCTATATTTAGATAGAAACACTCCTCTAACATCCACACGAAATGGTGGGAACATAATTATAAACATAATGTGTTAAGAGTGTAGCATTAAGTTCACCTGTTTCCTCTATGAACCAGCGCAAGTCTTACTGAGCACAGTCATACAACATGCATTTATTGCCCTTGCGATAGTGAAAAACAATTCTTTGTTCAAGCATCGCCCTCGTACACGTTAGGAATTGTGTCTTCTTTGTACCGGAGTTGAACCATAACACTACAGTGAAAATGATAGGGCGCCCGCACCTTGGTCGTCACCTGCTTCAGTCTTGCGCGGTTTTTCTAGAGATGTCCAAATAAGGGATATTGACCGGGAAAAATTGAGGACGTGAGGCAACACAGAGTGTCATTTCCTCCTTATGTGATTTATGTAATCATATCAGACACAACATTATAAATATATATATTAATACTATTTTTGTATGGGAAAAGTTCGTCTGCTGGATAACTGAACTACAAAGTAGTGAATCGGACGTAAAACCACTCTAATAAACAAGAAAACAAATGGATAAAGTATATGATAGAAATTAGAAGCGGCACCTTTGACGGTTTGTCAAAAGTAATTAGTATTTTTTGACCAAGAGAACTGTTACCTTGGTGGACTCCTCCTGGTCACTGGCGGGCGTGAACAGGACCGGGAACGTCTGCGTTTCGGCCATGGAGTAGAACTCGGACCTTTCACATGGGGGCCAGAACAATTCCTGTTCATTTCGCTTACGTGCTGTAAATAAATTACATAAAAGAGTTGAAACGCAGAAATGTAACGTTACATTTTTTTCATTAGTGTTCTTTTTGTCATTCGTTTCTGGATATTGTAACTTGAATTACTTATAGAAGGACAGGGGTTTAGTTAAACGATTTGTTTGGTATTTCAAGCGGCATACTGAGAAAGTCTTTAAAACGCTTTACATAGTTTTAGTGAGTACTTACAGGACGTGTGGGATGCTTCTGACTTGGCTCGGTTTGTTCGTCTTCTATCTTCGTCTCTTGTCTTTCTTTCCGCTCCCTTAAGAAATACATTAACAACAATGTAGTTAAAATAATGAAATATAAGTATTGCGAAATACTGATCGACATCTTCCTAATGTTAAGTATTGGAATCATGATTAAATAACCAGCGCCTAATTACATCTATGTGTACGAACTATTAAATAGCCAACGCCTAATTACATCTATGTGTACGAACTATTAATTGATATTCAACGCCTAATTACATCTATGTGTACGAACTATTAATTGATATTCAACGCCTAATTAAATCTATGTGTACGAACTATTAATTGATATTCAATGCCTTATTAAATATATACGCACTACAGTCAACAAATAGCTTACTTTAAGTGCAGCAAATAATTAATTCATGACCAATACCTATATTTAACTTCTATGAAACATGAATTGACGGTACGCACTAAGAAACATGAATTGACGGTACGCACTAAGAAACATGAATTGACGGTACGTAAGAAACATCAAACTTATGGTCACCGCTCAGTTATTACCAGATACTAGCAAGCTTCTGAAGGTATCTTTTTATATGTCCTTAAGTAGAGGGCAGGTCTGGAGAGACCGTTGCGACGACAAGATTATTTATATTCAATAACATTATGTAAATATCACTTCAAACACATTAATTACAACAAATATCAAGCGCACTAATTATGTTAGAGGGTCATATGTCATTGTGAGATCAGCGGAGGTCATGCTTACCTTGTCACAAAACACTTTGATTTGACAGTAGCCACGGTGAACGGGGTACGAGTCTTTGGGGTTCTCAAACGTGTCAATCTGTATGTGAAGTGGGAATCCCTGGAAACATAAAACATTAGATATGTTAATGAATTCTGACAAAGACACACAGTGACATATACGTCATCAGGCTTCTCCTATGGTATCAAGTCGTTAATATATCATAAAAACAGTTTATCGCTATCTAAATCTAAATAATTGGTTGATACAAGAAAAACAGTACGAAATGAATTTGCGCACGTGTAAATGCTGGACATGTTTAGATGTGAAAAGAAACCTACTGATCTTGTGCAGTGTGAAAATACTCGTCCAAATTCAACTTTTCTTCAAAGTTAAGTCACTTAAAAAGGGCATTTTATACACGCACCAGGACATGGATGTTGAGGTTTGTTTGAATATAACAGTCTCAAGTGTATTTGATGTACCCTCGTCAATCCTACAGTCAATATAAACAGGCTGGCTAATTTACATATCTGTATGATGTTGGGACGACTTCACTCATTGGCACGTTTTAAAAGGTATTTGATGTAGGATGCGTGTTCATGACCAATGATTGCCTCAAATTAAAAGGTGGTCGTCTTATCGTGGAATTACTGATATTAATAGGAAAATACATCGCACAAACATACAAGTCATGTTAAATATCACGGTAATTACACAAAAGAAACACTACACAAACTATAGTTATGTTTCATTATGTATACATTGGACTCACCTTGACTCCCTTCTGGTTACTGAAGTCTGTACTCAGACAGTGGACAGCAATGTTCACCTAACAAACAAACTACGTTGTTAATATATTTTGTGATTATACAGGTACCCGGATTTCCTTTGATAATCGATGTGTTATTAAAGCTTTTGATCATATATTTAATTTAAAGGAAGAAAATAACACAACACACATCATATTTTGGAAATATTTCTGTGATCGTACCAGCTAATTTATGTGGCTTTTTATGAATTAAATCATATTTTATTAACATTATAATTCAATATAGCATACGATGATAATACAACAGCCATGCATGATAGATTGCTGCAGATATGAATCCATTAATCAGAAAGTTTATTACTGCCCTGGAACTTCAAATGATATCATTCTAACCAATGAAAACCAGGTGTACATACCTTGACTGGCGAGTCACGTGGGTTCCATTTCACTGCGACAGCATTGAAGGCCACTTCCGTTATACTACTTGTAAGGACGCCTTGACTATCCTTGGTGTCTACAGAGAAAACGGGCCACATTGGAATTAACTTGTGTATTGTGAACTAAGAAATATCATTAGTTTATATTTTCCTAATGTATGGGGATTTAGTGTTATTCATAGGAAACGTTTACTGTATACATAAACTCAGACATCGGGGTTGGGGTGGGGGTGGGGGTTATTTGAATATGTTCCATTTTAATGCAGTATGGGCAACTCATTACGTCTACCTATCAATTTAAACCTTGCAAATATGCATTAATGAATATTCAAATAGATATCAAAAGAATGTTTAAACGCTTACAGAACGTGTATATATGTATTCGAAGACCGGTTTTGCACGTTAAAAGTTCAACAACGTGAATCATTTGAATAACAAAGCGTTTAAGATACTCCCCGTTTGCAGTAAACTCCTGATTGTTTACAGGTTTATGGTAGATTTATAGAGAAAGTCATATTCATCTCGTCATAAAAATCACAACATAGCGCGAGAGCAACGGGATTCATTAGTTTCTGATAGACTTCTATACGGGGCGAAGTTAAAATGAAGGAAGGATCACTGAGACAGAAACGTTCGTTTGTATACGGGTCAAAAGTGTAAGAGTTATTGAAAACTCTAACAACATAATTTATGATATATTCGTATCTATTTTACGTCTTTGAAAATAATCTGAATTCTCAATCTTAGACGTGTTTACATGTTTATGCGTGCAAAAAATACCAATCAAACTCAGATGAATGGAAAGGAAAACGTTTGTAGCAGTAATGACATTATTTACATGTATAGCCAATAAACATCTAACAACTGCCTTCATCTATCACCCTCACTATTACACATAACGTACAACAATAGGACACGTGTAAACAATCACATCACCTACAATTATTTTACACTTAAATTCGAGGTAATATTACGCACGTGCTGCAGGTGGCATTATAATGGACACGATTTGGAGGTATTTTACTAAGAAAAAGGGAATGTGCAAGAACATCAATAGTCGCTTCCACCTACTCGCTTTATGTCAAATACCCCAATATATCAACTATTAACAAATTTAGAATGATGACAAAATTAGGTACATGTAATTATGTTAAATTGCTTTGATGCCATCTAAATAATATATCTTCTTTGAAAACATCTTTTCATTGTTATTCAAAGGAGTACATGTAAACATTTTTTCCATGGCATTCACGAGTAATATGTGTACGGGACTTACCTATGTCCAGTACTCTTTGTTTGTAGCTGTGCTGTCTCGAATGCCAAAATTCCCATGCTTTCCTCTCATCGTCTAATGTCTTGTCATCACGAAATACGACCATAATAACCGACTGAAAACGGTAATGATCACGAACATTACTATCAACCTCATTTGCATTGTATCTATGACCTATGTACTATACTATTATGTTGTCTTTATGACCTATGTACTATACTATTATGTTGTCTCTATGACATATGTACTATACTATTATGTTGTCTCTATGACCTATGCACTATACTATTATGTTGTCTCTATGACCTATCTACTATACTATTATGTTGTCTCTATGACCTATATACTATACTATTATGTTGTCTCTATGACATATGTACTATAGTATTATGTTGTCTCTATGACCTATGTACTTTACTATTATGTTGTCTCTATGACCTATGTACTTTACTATTATGTTGTCTCTATGACCTATGTACTATACCATTATGTTGTCTCGATGACCTATGTACTATACTATTATGTTGTATCTATGACCTATGTACAATACTATTATGTTGTCTATATGACCTATGTCTATGTACTATACCATTATGTTGTCTCGAATGTACTATACTATTATGTTGTCTCTATGACCTATGCACTATACTATTATGTTGTCTCTATGACCTATGTACTATACTATTATGTTGTCTCTATGACCTATACACTATACTATTATGTTGTCTCTATGACCTATATACAATACTATTATGTTGTCTCTATGACCTATGTACTATACCATTATGTTGTCTCGATGACCTATGTACTATACTATTATGTTGTCTCTTTGACCTATGTATTATACTATTATGTTGTCTCTATGACCTATGTACTATACTATTATGTTGTCTCTATGACCTATGTACTATACTATTATGTTGTCTCTATGACCTATGTACTATACTATTATGTTGTCTCTATGACCTATGTACTATACTATTATGTTGTCTCTATGACCTATGTACTATACTATTATGTTGTCTCTATGACCTATGTACTATACTATTATGTTGTCTCTATGACCTATGTACTATACTATTATGTTGTCTCTATGACCTATGTACTATACTATTATGTTGTCTCTATGACCTATGTACTATACTATTATGTTGTCTCTATGACCTATGTACTATACTATTATGTTGTCTCTATGACCTATGTACTATACTATTATGTTGTCTCTATGACCTATGTACTTTACTATTATGTTGTCTCTATGACCTATGTACTTTACTATTATGTTGTCTCTATGACCTATGTACTATACTATTATGTTGTCTAAGGACAAATATACTTTAGCGATTGGAGTTAATGGAATAATCTGTGTATTAAAATGACGTTGCCAAAGAACCTGTCTTACCTTAGCCATCTGGCATTGAGGAATGCTGTCAGCGTTCAACTCCAGCGTGAGACCATAGTACTGTCCTACAATACACACAAACACTAGATAAAACGTGCATGGAAGGAAGGTTGATCAGGAACACGGCGGAGAAATAACAAACTATCGGAGTGAATACATTCATTTACGCTAAAATGTACATTTTATAAACCAAGCCATATTAAAAAGAAAATTGTTGGAGACAAGCAATAGTTTATAATATTTTTACCAGTGACTAATCCAGTGAAATGGACACAGGAACTCTCCCCGGATTTAACACTATACATGTATGTAGAAAAGTTTTACTTATGTCACCATGCTTTGTAAATTCTACTTAATGATAGAATCACCGGTAAAACGGTACTATAAAGGACGATGATGTTGGCCCGGTAAAACCTATAAAGGACGATGATGTTGGCATACAACAAAGGCGTTACGTTACCTTTGTTTAGGTATGTGATACGGTCCTCCTCGACCCGGACAGATGTAGAAATGGGAGTCTCCATGGTGTATTTATAACCAGTTGTATTCACGTCCCTGTGACAAGTAAAATATAAAAATGCATTTACTGATGAATGAATAACGTAATGAATACATTGGTATGTTTCCATGTGGGTGGAGCGTCTGTCTAGACCCCACATAATGGCTAGATAAGCTAAATATAAAAAAAAAGATAAATCGGTAAAATGACACAGAATTATTTCAACTTCTTTAATTTTCACAAATACTAGCTATGGCATCACATTTTTAAGTCAGAAGCAGACTTATATCTCAGACATGACTGAATAGAAGGCAATGCGTGGATTGTTTTCAGTACATAATACAGCATTTATCAATGCCTGATGTAGCTTGGTAAAGTGTTTATAATTCTCGTACTTGTTATACAGTAATCTACCCATATCACACTATAAACCTACATATCACATTATAAACCTACACATTTTTTTCATGTGAACTCAAAACAATTAAAATTGGCATACACTTGTCCGTTGAGTTAAAAGTAATCAGATGTGACAACTCCTGGAAGATGTCGCCATCGTCGATACCTGTCACTATATCGTCGATACCTGTCACTATATCGTCGATACCTGTCACTATATCGTAGTTTCCTATTATACCCTGGCTTAATCATAAAGCGAACAGAATGTCATTATATGAAACATGGAGGCGATGAATTCTGTATGTAATTAATGACTGTTCTTGCATGTATTTTCTGACGACAAAGTAGGAAATTCGTCCACGTTTTCCTGCCTTTATATAGCAGTGGAGACTGTACACGTTAATAATATTCAGAAGATTGTTTTCGTCTAATGTTCGTTGACTGATTAATGAAAATTTCAGAAAAAAAGAGCGCCGCTAATTGTTATATGACAATGATGTAAGTGTAGAAGATCTATCGCCGCCCCCGCGGGACAGCCCCCGTTTCCTCTTAGCATGCAAATGAAGGCACATAAAACTGACGCGACTGCAAGGTCCACAGTTTCATGGGGTCTGATTTTCAATTTAACCACACTCTCAATGTGGAGGTGTTTAAAATGTTCTTTTATGTAACTTCTAAATGATTAAATGCACTTTTATGTTTATTTATAAGATTCAACTTCATATGTGTATAGTTAGTTTGCAAATCCTGAATTTAGAGCAATAGTCCAAAATTATTTCAATTTATTAACACTTTTTAATAAATTGACAAACATGATTGACGAGGTACTCTTAATAAAGAAGAAAATAATAATGGAAGCTATATGTATAATACAGATTAGAATAAGTCACACGTGGATTGTAACATTTTGAATCAGGGTTGTCTGCACTTACGCTAAATGTGTAGGCGTGAAATATTGGCTATTCTTCATGCTAACTCATATGTGATATACATCAAAATAGTGACACAAGTTTTATACAGCCCCGTCTTCACACCTCAATAAGCTAACTGTACAGGTGCATATCAAGCCCTTTCTTGCCTTTTTGGCAATACAAAATAAGTGATAATGACAAACCTACCAAGTTTGAAAATAATCTGAGTCTATTTATTTTGACAAAGGCAATGACTTTGAATTATGATCGAATCAGTATGTCTAATACATATATACACAGCTCTATCAGACTGTAGCTCATCTACTTATATGCAGGAGTCGTATTAAAAGCTAGGGAGCAGACAGAAAGTTAGTGGACAGACGTATGGACGACGCCCAATAATATGTTTGTTCTCGCTCACCAGTCTATACAAGTGATATCTAAATATAAAGTATAGAACAGAGCAAGCAGGCAGAACTTATACAAACTTACAGCTTGGGAATCGTCGTACTATAATTCGTCTTGTCATTTCCTGGCCAGAAAGCACAGCCTTTAGACGCATAGCTGGACGTTGTGGTGGCCGACTTCCGCCTCCGCTTCTGTCCGGAGGTCGGTCCATTTGCGGCCCCGTCTTGGTAGTTTGAATTTCCATCCTTGTAAGCCTGTGTTATCACAGAGGTTTAAATGATTAGTAATCCTATAGAATAAATCAGAGTATTTCTTTACTTTGATTAGGAAGTATTAGCTGTAATAAAAGGTTTAAAGCTGAGTTTTTTTCCCCGTTTTGACAAAACTTTATAAGAATTCAAGACAATTTCCGTATAAGTATCTTTCTATCTTTTTTTTTCTAAATTCATATTTGTCCTTGACTTATTATTTTCTATCATACAATCAATACAAAATAAACATTGGTTTTATATGGCGGAAATGTGTAAATGAGTTAAATCTCCTTAAAAACAAACATTTTAGTCAAGAAAATATTGCTCGTTATCGACAAATTTCCCACGGAGTATAACACCGTGACACGACCATTTCTTGTTTTACATGTATATGTTTGTCTTTCAATGACGTAACAACACGATTACCGCAATTATATCAATTACCGTCTTACTTTCCTACAAACAAAAGACTCAAACGTCAGTATGCTAGGTGGGAGACAATAGGGTGTGACCCCCTGGGGCAGCTTATTTGGGGCGTAGCCGACTAATTAATAATAATTACACCACAATGAAAATGCAGCAAGCCTTTGTTGTGATTATCTCCCCTGTCGACGCAATAAGGACCCGCGGCACTGAAACCGATCATTATCTATTGTAGCCAGCGAATTAATACGATTAACAAATAATTAGTTGTTTACCTATCAAAAACATGGTCAACAACTCAATATATCTCCAGGCTATCTCATATCAAACTTTACGATTACGTTGTTGATTATTTAAATTATATAAAAAAAAATACTGGATATATCTATCGATTCATGCGTAAAATGTGAAAAAAATGACCAGGATATCCAAAGAAAGCACTAAACATACATTAAAGATAATTAAAGAAGTGTTAACTGTTATATTTCTTGAAAATGCAAGGAAATGTTATCAAAGGTTTTCATGGCGCAAGTATAGTCACCACCATGTACACAACATAAAAGTGGAAAAAACTCATGGCGTGATGGTCAACCAGTTTAATGTCTACGGATCCCAAAATCTAAAAAAAACACCTTTTTAATCTAGATGACTTTTATTGATTAAGTATTATTTTAATGAATCTGAAAATACAAATGCATAGACATTTATTTGAATTATAACTACATTTTTTATAAGCATTCTCGATAATCTTTTATTTTGTAAATCTGTAAAAGAAAGTTTGGCAACAGGAATCTTGTCGTTTAAGCAAGATGAACAGGTGAAAAAAATATAAACCTATAACCAGGTGCGACAATTATACGACGACGATGGGAAGAAACGTACAGGATTGAGATTAAAAGATTTGTTACGGGAAAGTCTTGTTACATTAGGCGATATATTAACATTAAAAGGTTGCTATTTGCTCCGATGCACAGTAGTATGTAATAAACCAATATGATTCAGCACTTGTCATATATTTATCGTAAATACGGAACGATAATAGCACCACATGAATTGATGACACTTAAAAAAACGAGAACATAAATTACTTTTTTGTTATCAATACTTAAACCTTTTGCAGCACTGCACACATCCTAACACCTGCATCCATTAATTTGGTGCCACTCTTGAATAACATCCCTCTTCCCCAATGTATGTTTAGTAGCATCATAAACAATATACGAGGTGTAACACATTTTAATGGCCCTTACATTTACTGGTATACCTCTACACTGCAATAATGAGGTTAGCTGAACGATGACAGGTGAAATGTAGTTTTTGTAGGAAAGAGAGAAACTCAAGATATATTATCACATGTCTGACTTGTGGACCGCTATATAAGAGGTTTTGACCGTTAGTGAATACTGATGTAAATAAAAGTGTACTTACAATGGCCTTAATGTTGTTCGGAGATAGGCAGGGTTCTTGATAGCCACTGTCTGGAGACTTCATGGCGTAATTCTGATTGTCCTTCATCACATACGGGTACAGCTGCTGATTCTCATGGAAACATTGCTGCTGGTGAATGTACCGTTCCAACATAGAGTCCCTTTCCGGTGTCTGGCCTTCCAAGGGAGGGCTGCTGAGCGCCGGGTACATGTACCCGTTAGCACTAGGGTATGATGGAGGATAAGAGTTCTGTCGGACCGGCGTTACGTTGTGAGCCGACTGCGAGTTAGTGTTGATGTTCGATTGGTAAGTTGTATGCACGTTTTGGATGATATGTACAGGTTGCACACTGGGCGGGTATGTGTACTGACCAGGCTGGTGCTGCTGGTGCTGAAGCGCCGAGGTGTTTACCGGCATCTGGAGTGCTGACATCGTATCACAGAGAACGGAGGAGGGGGCACTCTGCGCCGTGTGATCTGTCATGACCGTCGTTGCTATGGCCGGTATAATTGACAAAGAAGTGTCATCCACTGGTGAAACGTTCCCGTTCATATGGGAATACTCATGTAACATTTCCGTCTTTACTGGATATAAAGGTAAGTTATTGCCTATATGCATGTTGGATTGAGAATCCTGTGCATATCCATTTAAACAAGAAGCCGACGACACTGCCATCACACAGTTGTTACTGTTACTAACCATTGTTTGTTGATTCAGCTTCTTTAAAATTTTCTCGTTCAATGCCTTAGAAATCCTTTTAGTAATACCGTTAGTCTTTGGCTGGTCAGTGGATTTAGTGTCTGAACTATCTCTATAGTTGGCAGTCTCTGTAGACAAGATATCAACTGTTTTTACCTCTACGCTGCTAATTGAAGTAATTGCGTTAGTTACGGGTGTGCAGTCCTTATAAAGCGAGACCTCCTCGCCTGAGGGCACCAATTGTACAAGGCGTTCCGGACTTACAGACGCGCTATCTGCCGGATACGCTGGTGGACTTGCGGAAGGAACCGAGCATGACGTAGGTGACGCGGTTGTATCCATCCGCGCATCGCTCAAGGCATCCTCAGATGTAGCTTCAAGCAACGGGGTATCTTCTAAAGGGTCACCTTCTATAGACATGGTTTGGCTTTCATCGGTCTGTAAAAAACACAATTGAAAAATAATTACAATAATTTGATAAAATAAAAAAACAGGGGTATTTTGCCAAGTATTTCAAATTGATTGCTTAGAAATACACTTATAAAATAATTTATAGAGTTTCATAACCATGTATTGACAATTCTTTATTACTACAAAAACAAGATAATTACCCTATATATAAAATAAAAATTGTATCATTATATAATTTTACATATATAAGTACCTATGCCCTATAAATCAGCGTAGTGCTATACAAAAATCCGTGTTTGCTGGTGATCACATACGAACGTTTTACTGGTAATGCAACAATAAACCCTGAATATGTTCACTTGTGAGAACCTTTCTCTGACAAATGTGTTTGGTGGTACAGGGATGACGGTAAGTGTGACGAATGTTTAACGCCAATGTTTTGTGACCATAACTGTGATAGTTTAATCACTTACGCCTGATTACCTGTCCGTAATACCTATATAAATACCATTATTTTCATATCGGATATTTGTGGTTGTCCAACGAATATCGTAATATACATGTGTTGTATTTAATTATCTGTAAATAAACCATTTTTATACATGTATTTCTTCTTTGATACATTATTTTGGAAAAATACTACGAACGTGTTTTGAATAATTAAATCAAAAACACAATTTGCAAGAATGAGGAATTTGTTATTGTCTATTTGACAGGAATATGAAGAGTTATATGAAGTAGCGAGGGAGGGACCTGTTAAGGAGGGGTAACACTGGTTTTGAACAGTGTCCTGATCCATCTACATTCACAGAAGCTACATTCGTACAACAAACACACAACTGTATGACATGTATCGAAACAACACTTTTAAATTGAAAAGATAATTGCCACCTAATTACATCCTACATACCAAGTGCTTCCCTTCCATTTAAAGTTTTATCAATATACATTTGATAGTGATTGTTATTTGTTTGGGGTTATAATTAGTGACGCCCTATATACAAACTCGTGTAGGAAAACAGATTTTGAAAAGGCTGGATATTAAAAGTAATATTCTTGTTGAATTTGCATATATTTTTCTTGATTTGTAGTTTTACATTTTTACACTGAAGTTAATGATAGTGTTATCAACAATAAACTAAGAGAAATAGTTATTCAAATATACTGACAATTAAGATGAAAGTTAAGTGGAAGAAAGCTTTCCTTTTTATTGAATAAACATCTTTAACGAGGTAATCTTTTATCGGGTAAAATTCCATGGCGTAGTGCACAGTTACAATGTGTATATCATTTTGTTGACACTACAAAACTATAAACACGAAAATGTCGATTTCAAGTTACAACTGTCAATCAAAAGACTGTTTTCCTGACACAGACATTTGCTAATCTGTTTATAGATTTTAACATGTCAACACTAAGCACATGAACCTATGCCCGGGGCCCCTTGACTGGAAACAAGAGTTTTACTCTCTGGTAACTCTTCGTAAAGCCAAATCACCATATAGTACATGGGTGTGAACATGCCGGGGGCCGGAACCATACCGAAAATCATTATTGTATAAGTAAACGTGTTAATCACAGACAGCTAGATTAGCATTGTCTGGCCAGGAAATGTAATTAAAATTTTATCTATCGTTATCAAATCTTCCGAGAAATATCAGTGTTACCCTAAGGCCAAAACACAGGAAGTATATACACTAGGTATGTGTCTATAATTGCAATAATGAAATCTGATACATCTAAAGAAAAAAAAGGAAAAGTCTATCTTACTTGGCAATCAGGAGGAATATCAGTTTTTGATTCTGTTTGTTTCGTTAGTCCTTCATCGCTGTCGTCGATGTCAGTTTCTTTGAACTCATCGTCACGATGACTAATTTGGGTACTCTCTCCATTAAGGAATTTGTCGACGTCCGTATGAAGAAGGGCCATGTAATCGCTCTCCGTTCCGTTCGCTGGTAAAACCACCACGGCGGGATCCTCCCGTTTGATCAATGAACTGGAAATTTAAACGATATACAAATTTTATCTAAAATTTCAATTCTTTACTTGAAAATATCCCATTCTTAATGTTACGTAACACACTACAGAAGATAGAGCATGTGCTGCCTCACAACCTCCGTAATATATAAGTTAGAGTAAGTGCTGCCTCACAGCCTCCGTAATATATAAGTTAGAGTATGTGCTGCCTCACAGCCTCCGTAATACGGCTTAACGTCAGTGTCTGAGACACTTGTTTCTGGTGATGGATTAACGTCAGTATCTGAGACACCCGTAATATATAAGTAAGAGTACGTGCTGCCTCACAGCCTACGATATATATAAGTTAGAGTCTGTGCTGCCTCACAGCCTCTGTAATATATAAGTAAGAGTATGTGCTGCCTCGCAGCCTACGTAATATATAAGTTAGAGTCTGTGATGCCTCACTGCATCCGTAATATATAAGTTAGGGTAAGTGCTGCCTCACAGCCACCGTAATATATAAGTTAGAGCATGTGCTGCCTCACATCCTCCGTAATATATAAGTTTGAGTATGTGCTGCCTCACAGCCTGCGGAATATATAAGTAAGAGTATGTGCTGCCTCACATTCTCCGTAATTTATAAGTTAGAGTATATGCTGCCTCACAGCCTCCGAAATATATAAGTTAGAGTATGTACTGCCTCACAGCCTCCGTAATCTAAAAGTTAGAGTATGTGCTGCCTCACAGCCTCCGTAATATATAAGTAAGAGTATGTGCTGCCTCACAGCCTACGTAATATATAAGTTAGAGTATGTGCTGCCTCACAGCCTCCGTAATACGGCTTAACGTCAGTGTCTGAGACACTTGTTTCTGGTGACACATTAACGTCAGTATCTTAGACACTTGTTTCTGGTGACGGATTAACGTCAGTATCTAAGACACTTGTTTCTGGTGATGGATTAACGTCAGTATCTGAGACACCTGTTTCTGGTGACGGATTAACGTCAGTATCTTAGACACTTGTTTCTGGTGACGGATTAACGTCAGTATCTTAGACACTTGTTTCTGGTGATGGATTAACGTCAGTATCTGAGACACCTGTTTCTGGTGACGGATTAACGTCAGTATCTTAGACACTTGTTTCTGGTGATGGATTAACGTCAGTATCTAAGACACTTGTTTCTGGTGACGGATTAACGTCAGTATCTTAGACACTTGTTTCTGGTGACGGATTAACGTCAGTATCTAAGACACTTGTTTCTGGTGATGGATTAACGTCAGTATCTGAGACACCTGTTTCTGGTGACGGATTAACGTCAGTATCTTAGACACTTGTTTCTGGTGACGGATTAACGTCAGTATCTAAGACACTTGTTTCTGGTGACGGATTAACGTCAGTATCTGAGACACTTGTTTCTGGTGACGGATTAACGTCAGTATCTTAGACACTTGTTTCTGGTGATGGATTAACGTCAGTATCTAAGACACTTGTTTCTGGTGACGGATTAACGTCAGTATCTTAGACACTTGTTTCTGGTGACGGATTAACGTCAGTATCTAAGACACTTGTTTCTGGTGATGGATTAACGTCAGTATCTGAGACACCTGTTTCTGGTGACGGATTAACGTCAGTATCTTAGACACTTGTTTCTGGTGACGGATTAACGTCAGTATCTAAGACACTTGTTTCTGGTGATGGATTAACGTCAGTATCTGAGACACCTGTTTCTGGTGACGGATTAACGTCAGTATCTTAGACACTTGTTTCTGGTGACGGATTAACGTCAGTATCTTAGACACTTGTTTCTGGTGACGGATTAACGTCAGTATCTTAGACACTTGTTTCTGGTGATGGATTAACGTCAGTATCTGAGACACCTGTTTCTGGTGACGGATTAACGTCAGTATCTTAGACACTTGTTTCTGGTGATGGATTAACGTCAGTATCTAAGACACTTGTTTCTGGTGACGGATTAACGTCAGTATCTTAGACACTTGTTTCTGGTGACGGATTAACGTCAGTATCTAAGACACTTGTTTCTGGTGATGGATTAACGTCAGTATCTGAGACACCTGTTTCTGGTGACGGATTAACGTCAGTATCTTAGACACTTGTTTCTGGTGACGGATTAACGTCAGTATCTAAGACACTTGTTTCTGGTGATGGATTAACGTCAGTATCTGAGACACCTGTTTCTGGTGACGGATTAACGTCAGTATCTTAGACACTTGTTTCTGGTGACGGATTAACGTCAGTATCTAAGACACTTGTTTCTGGTGATGGATTAACGTCAGTGTCTGAGACACCTGTTTCTGGTGACAGATTAACGTCAGTATCTAAGACACTTGTTTCTGGTGACGGATTAACGTCAGTATCTAAGACACTTGTTCCTGGTGACTGATTAACGTCAGTGTCTTAGACACTTGTTTCTGGTGACAGATTAACGTCAGTATCTGAGAAACATGTTTCTGATGACGGATTAACGTCAGTATCTGAGACTCATGTTTCTGGTGACAGATTAACGTCAGTATCTGAGACACTTGTTTCTGGTGACGGATTAACGTCAGTATCTGAGACACTTGTTTCTGGTGACGGATTAACGTCAGTGTCTGATACACTTGTTTCTGGTGACGGCTTAACGTCAGTATCTGAGACACTTGTTTCTGGTGACGGATTAACGTCAGTATCTGAGACACTTGTTTCTGGTGACGGATTAACGTCAGTATCTGAGACACTTGTTTCTGGTGACGGATTAACGTCAGTATCTGAGACACTTGTTTCTGGTGACGGATTAACGTCAGTATCTGAGACACTTGTTTCTGGTGACGGATTAACGTCAGTATCTGAGACACTTGTTTCTGGTGACGGATTAACGTCAGTATCTGAGACACTTGTTTCTGGTGACGGATTAACGTCAGTATCTGAGACACTTGTTTCTGGTGACGGATTAACGTCAGTATCTGAGACACTTGTTTCTGGTGACGGATTAACGTCAGTATCTGAGACACTTGTTTCTGGTGACGGATTAACGTCAGTATCTGAGACACCTGTTTCTGGTGACGGATTAACGTCAGTATCTGAGACACCTGTTTCTGGTGACGGATTAACGTCAGTGTCTGAGACACTTGTTTCTGGTGACGGATTAACGTCAGTATCTGGGACACTTGTTTCTGGTGACGGTTTAACGTCAGTATCTAAGACACTTGTTTCTGGTGACGGATTAACGTCAGTATCTGAGACACTTGTTTCTGGTGACGGATTAACGTCAGTATCTAAGACACTCGTTTCTGGTGACGTATTAACGTCAGTATCTGAGACACCTGATTCTGGTGACGGATTAACGTCAGTATCTAAGACACTTGTTTCTGGAGACGGATTAACGTCAGTGTCCGAGACGACGGATTAACGTCAGTATCTGAGACACTTGTTTCTATTGACAGCACGTACACATACGGTGGCCTGTTAAGATCGACATATCTACATTTGTGTTCAAGCAACATGCATATGAAATCTTTAATGTGTTTTGGATACGGTGAGAACGATTTTGATGAATACATCAATAATTAGCATTAACGAGGAAAGTATATCATTGAAATCTATATGAAGATGCTCAAAACAGGATTCCCATCAATAACTCACAAATAACGGATTATGTTCATAAAAAATCCAAGATTTATCTATCAGGATTGGAAACCCTGTTATTAATAATTTCAGCGAAAGATAAAATGTGAAAATGTCGCTTCAGTGTCATTTCATTACCGGAAAGATGGCGCTATCTCCACCATGGCTTATTTGAAAAAGCGAATTAAAATTTATCAGCCCAAACTCCCAGGTATGTTATTGCTGCTACTTCCTAGATCTCAACGGTAACTAACCGAGTCCTGCCGCACACACACACATTTACTTGTTATCAGCTTAATATAAGGTGCCATATATGTTTTCACCTCAATGCTATTTTTAAACATTGGACAACGTCAGGTTTTGTGGAGATCAATCAAGACACATTCGGCGTCATATATTTACTGTCTATCATTGACATTAAACACCCATGTATCACATGACGACAATCGAGCAACACAATTTGTATTTTTTTTTATCATTATTCACTTCACAATGCAGCCCTGTGTAGAGGGGGTCGTGCCCGTACCCGGGGTCATCACCTCGGACGCGCGGTGATTGCCCCAATGTTACACGTACCACCTGCCCGGGTGAAGCAAAAGAGGTTCGCCTTACTCCAGAGTAGATAGAAGTTTAGATATAAACGATTCATGGGGCGTTAGAAGCCATCCTCCCTGTGTACATCAATTTCCAACACGAGGTCCGGGGGTTGGGGGATCCGTAATTGAAACGGATATATCAGTTGGGAATGGATTACGAAATACGTCATGACGATTAAAATGACGGAAACCAGTAAGAACCATTTTTAGAATATCTCCGATTTTATTTATTGTGCGTCAGTAAAATATAGCGAATGACATATTTACAGTTCTTCAGTGAATAGACAGGATGTCTGGACAGACAAAGTAACCATTACTTACTCATCAATGGATAAAAAGGATATTACCAGAGATCACCGGTCAGTTAACAACATCACCAGATATCACTGGTCAGTTAACAACATCACCAGTCAGTTAACAACATCACCAGAGATCACCGGTCAGTTAACAACATCACCAGATATCACTGGTCAGTTAACAACATCGCCAGATATCACTGGTCAGTTAACAACATCACCAGATATCACTGGTCAGTAAACAACATCACCAGATATCACTGGTCAGTTAACAACATCACCAGATATCACTGGTCAGTAAACAACATCACCAGATATCATTGGTCAGTAAACAACATCACCAGATATCACTGGTCAGTATACAATACACCAGATATCACTGGTCAGTTAACAACATCACCAGATATCACTGGTCAGTTAACAACATCACCATATATCACTGGTCAGTTAACAACATCACCATATATCACTGGTCAGTAAACAATACACCAGATATCACAGGTCAGTAAACATTACACCAGAT